TGAATAGTGAGAACAAATATAAAAAAATTAAAGATTTTTGAGTTAGGACCAAAATACAAGAAATGTATTAATAAGATTGAAGAAGACATTAGTCTTATTTCTATATATATACTAGCTACTAAAAATGCCATATCAAAGCTTCTTTATGGTCTAAGTGTCAAAGTTATAGATCACTTCTATATCAAATTACTATTAAATAAAACAAATACCTTAAAAAGTATCTATAGCCATGTGGCATGTCTAAAAGATTCTATAGATTTATTTTATATCTAGAATATTTTTTAATATTTTCTAATGAAAATATTTTCTATTTAACATATTTCTATCTACTCTTTACTTCAATTTTCTTAAATAATATAAGCATCTATTATACTAATTTTGTAAAAGAAGAGTGTAGTCATCAAGTAGCTTGGTAAAAAAATTACATAGATGAAAGAATAAATAAATCACACAAGAGTAGTAACAATTGAGACTATAATATTAGTAATTAGAATACACTTGGAACTAATAATAATAATTAGCATATTAGACCTAGGTTGTCAAACACATCAATAAGAGTCACATTATAATTTTAGAAATAAACCTAATTGTTCATTGATAATGTTCATTGTTTGTAATTATTTTGTACATATATACATTGTATATATATCATATAGTGTAATTAAGAATAGATATGTATATTTTAACAATATATATATATATATATTTTATCTCTTATATATATATATATATATATATTTTATCTCTTAGCTTTTGTGAGTAGCTTACTAACAAGAAACCAATTGTTGAAAGTTCTTAAAATATTAGTAAGAGGGATGCAAGGTTAAGAGTGTGAGGATTGATATTTTTAAAATATATATATATATATATATAGATATGAACAATTTGACAAGATTAAAGGTTTATTAAAATGTTCTAAGGCAAGGAGTCATTTGTAGTTTCTCCTCATACAAAACGAGCCGGGTACCCATTCTGCTACGGCCACCCATTCTGCTACGGCCGTAGTCAGTAACTTTGTTACCTTAGTGGTGGAATCTGGAAGTATATATGTTTTAATGACCACATCCATTAGTTCATTTCAAATGCTAGCATTGATTTTTGGGACACCTCAAAGAATATACTGTGTGGCACAGCAAATATCACGAGTTTAAACCCGGGGTTGCACACGGGTTAGCTTCAAAATCCAGAGAATTTAATTGATCCGAAGTAAGATGTATCCGTCTCCAGATAGGTATGGACTAGTGGTAAGTGTTCAAACGTTGAAAATGAAGTCGCTGCAATTCACGAACCACCACGACTTGCTACACTCTGCGAGATACTACAACGGAAAACATGCAAATTAGAATATAGCAAACAGTGAGAGGCTGGGTGTTCTAGAAGTAAAGAGGTTTGTTATTATTGCATCTTCTGTGAACGGCATATCTTCCATATGCTTTGACTTTCTCGACCTCATTATACTGATCTCTGGGTTAACAATTCTGTACCACAGTGGATAACTGACGGTTCAAGAAAGCATAACAATTGTTTATTGACTACTGTGCTCACAAAGAAAACTAAGACCAACTAGGGAGACATAAGTGAATCCATGTGCTGATGTCTTTTCCATAGAGGTTTCAACTAGTAACCATGTCGGTTAATCAAAACAGAGGATATCATAGATACAGAGTTATGCCAAATTCAAAGTACTTAATTTCCAAGATCAGAGGTTGCTTACAACATCTCCGACCGAAACTTGAGAAAACTTTATTCGCACATCACCAAAGCGCAGCAAAAGTGTAGATTCAACAGTAGGATTCTGTACCAGCACCAATTGGGCACTTGAAGGCCACTTACCACAGTTCAACATCTCCTACAAACTCTCCATCCGAATTCAAGGTAAAATTTGATACCAATGTACTTCTGAATATGTAGCTCCTACATTTTGCAGACAACAGTGGGAGAAGACCCCAATGACAAATGCAGACCCCGGCTATCCATGACTCTTCAGCTCTGCCTCAAATACTGAGCGATAATATACACCCGGCCAAGTGAGAGCCGACCAGTCAATCTACGACCTACCAGAACAAAAGGGGCGGTCATCATGTCTAAAGAACGGTATAAGAAAATTGTGAGCAAAACTGTGCACCTCTCGTAAGGGCGTGTCTGAAGCTACCAAAAGCATCTACTTGACTCGCTACGACATTAGCTCTAATCCCAAGCGCTGCTTCCACCTCCATATCCACCTCCACCATATCCACCACCGCCACCACCGTACCCGCCATGATGGCCTCCACCACCACCCCTGGCACCATCTCTACGGAAATCACGTCCTCCAAACTTCGATCCCCCACCTCCTGACCGCCTGTTCCTACCTCCACCTCCATAACTCGCTCTGGTGGCATAGTTAGTCAGCCATCCTGGTACTTCCTGACTGGACTCGGTCATCAGCTCTGCCAAAGATCTTGCTAATGACTGGTCTTTCTCATTGAAGAAAGCTGTGGCTACACCACTCTTCCCAGCACGACCTGTACGCCCAATACGATGTACATAGTCATCGATATCAGAGGGCAGATCGAAATTCACAACATGAGCAACATGTGGAATATCCAGCCCTCGAGCAGCCACATCCGTCGCAACAAGAATAGGTGTAACACCAGTCCGGAAGGATCTCAAAGCATGCTCACGCTCCTGCATTCGAAACGTCAACCAACAATCAATTCCACAAAACACCAGGACAGAGCTAAGATGCAGAGCCCACAACCTCCTCGGCAGCAACCACATGTCACTAGCAGGTTCTGGATGCAGAAGACTTCAAGAAGGTCTTCATTATAGCTTCCATGATAACTTTCCAAATCCACTCCACTCACAACCATCCCAGGAAAATGAAACACGGGGTAACCGCGAACAAACCTGTTGGCTCCGATCGCCGTGAATTGTTGTAGCAGGGAAACCCATGCGACACAGCCAGTCCTCCAAAGAATCTGCTCCTTTCTTAGTCTCTACAAAGACTAAAGTTAAAGACTGCTGTCCAGGAGGAGCCAAAGCACTCTGAGCGTGGATCAAGTCCATCAGCATGCTACGTTTGTCCGAATCTTGCACATATTCTACGCGTTGCACTATCAGTTCTGTACTGGACCCCACCCTACCCACGGCAAGGAAGATGTAGTTCGACAAAAAGTCTGATGCCAGTCTCTGCCAAAAACAATTGTTATCAACTGAGCAAATTTGTCCTGTGCAGAATAAATCATACAAGATACTCCGAGACTTCTACAAGAGAGCACAGCTGCAAATAGAGATAATGGAAAAACAATATAAAAAGTTTGGAGTCGCAGCCTGCGAAGTGGCGTATTTGAGGGAGCCAGACATTCCATTTGAAAAGATTCAACTGAGAATGAGAAAATTTTCTTTATGCAAATGAAATGAGATACCAACCCACAATCTTCAACGATATGCTGATAATTTCAATCAGCGTAAGTATATACCCAAGTACCTGAATTTCTCTAGGAAAGGTGGCGCTAAACAGCATGGTTTGACGTTCACCAGCCGGTGGCATATCCATTTGTTCCACTATTCTACGAATTTGGGGTTCGAAACCCATATCCAACATCCGGTCGGCCTCATCCAACGCCAAATATCGAACCATGGATAAGGATACCCTAGCCCTCTCCAAAAGGTCACTCAAACGTCCGGGGGTTGCAACTAAAATGTCTACACCTCTTTCCATTTCCCTAAGCTGCAATTTCAAAAAAATCAACATTAACATACAGAAAAACAACATTCGTGTAGAACATGCGCACAGAACTACTCGTGGAAGGTTACCCGTACTAAAAAAAACGCAACTACAGCATAGGAGGAAATAGTTACCATACTAACCTTACTTAAAGGTGCCTGCTTAAGATAAATAGACGAAGAAAGATAAACCATAAAAGTGATCACCAGAATTTCACATTTTCATGTTTCACCCTGGCTTCCATTTCCTGACAAGAACATGCAGCCACGGAAACATACCTGATTATGGACAGGAGCGCCACCATAACAGACTACTACTTTAATGCCAGTCTGATACGCAAACTTTTTGGCTTCGTCACTAATCTGCAAGGAAACAATAGTACCCACCAAAAAGTTTCCTAAGTATTCAACATTACCAGGGTAATAATCACATATACTATTATTCCAAAATATAAGGTTGGGCGCAATACTTCCTAGAACTCTACGATAAAAGTCAAGTTACGGACGGGCACTTCAAGTACATGCATCAACACTTGTAACTCCCATTACTACATTAATTCGTCCGACTCGCCAAAAGGCACAAAACAACTCACTTGGCACGACAATTCCCTCGTGGGTGAAAGTATAAGAGCCAGCGGCAGGGCCTTCCTTCCGCCACGAGAACGCCCAGGGGGGGTGTTCCTCATTATTCCTGCAATAATCGGAAAGCAGAATGCGGCAGTTTTTCCACTGCCTGTCTGTGCGCAAGCCATTAGATCCCGACCATGCAAACTAATCGGAATCGCATACCTCTGCACCGGCGTTGGCTTCGTGTACTTGCATCGCCGAATGTTCTCGTTGAGTGCTGGGCCAAGATCAATTTCTGCGAAAGTGTTCACAGGAGGGGGCACGTTGTTCCCACTCGTTTCCACCGGAATATCTTCATAAGCATCGAAATTGATGCCCGTATTTTCTGCCTCAAAGATCGTCTCTGAAACTTGTTCGTCATTGGCAAAAGGGTTGGCCTCCCTCTCCCAACCTCCTCTATGACCTCTCCCAACGCCTCCATAGCTTCTACCAGAACCGTTTGAATTTCCCCAGCTCGCTGCATGGTTCACTGCTGCACCAGAGCCCCAACCAGATCCATTGCTGACCCTTGCTGCAACTCCGCCGTCCGCTTGGGGGGCGGCAGCGGCTACAGGATTCGGGTTTCCCCAAGCAGGTCGCCCTCCCGGCGCCCCTCGGGCAGAATCTTTTGACTCCGCAACCGTGGGATTGATCACTCTATCCACAGCAGCAGCAGCTTGAGGACGGTTTCGCAAATGAGGAGGAACATATGATGGCCTGGCAGACCGACCACATGAAGCACCCTCTGAACTTCCATTCTCAGGGGCCACCATATCCGGTGGCAACTCGGCCCATGTTGAAGGCATATCTTGACCAAGCACCTGCTCCAAATAGACTAATGGTAACTCCTCGATTCTTTCGAACGTTAAATCCACTTACGCTTTAGATTTTAAATTGATAGCTGACTCAAACAATAGGCAAAAAAGTCTGCACGCCCGCACAAGACCAACAACCATTAATTACTATCCAACATACAACATCCAGGCATATAGCAACACAGACTAGCTCACATGAGTATCAAGATACACTCTCAAGGATTCCACACCTGGAGAAACCCTAACTATGCCCGCAAGACGGAGACCACAACAGAAAGTACACAAAACTGACAACCTGATTGAGAACAGTCTTGAGATCTAAATCTAACGACAAGTACCGTGCGAAAACAACGCCACGGGAGGTGAAAAAAATTGAGTCTCTATCACTCAACCAACAGTTTATAGGCTAACCTCACCGACCACGTGACATGAAAACACAAAACCAAAACCTAGGCAGCAAGGCAACGTTACGAACCGCGAAGCTTCACAGTACAAATTCAAATACTAACCGACAGGTGTAAGAAAGGGAGAGAGCGACTTGGAATCCTAGTCGAAGATGTTAAACGACGTAAGAGGAGTGAAGAGAAAATGACAAGAAGTGGAGGAGAGAACACGGCACCTGACCAAGTGACGACGGCGGCGCCCATGGCCTGTCTGGTGCAGCAGGGGTTGAAACAACCGAAAGGAAAGAAGCGGCTCAATAAAATGGTGAAGAAGAAGAAGAAGAGCAAGGTGAAATCTAAACCCGTAACTCTAACGGGATCTTACGGTCAATCTCCAACTTACGAAGGCCTCAGTTGATTAGACAAAAAAAAACAGGGTTAAGCAAAAGAGAGAGACCAGCTGCACGAGGCGTGGCAACGGCGGAAAGGACTATTGCAGCACTGCACTGCACTGCAGAGCAGTAGTAGTCACAAGGCAAAGGCACAGGGCACAGGCCCAGGCATGGAAAGTGCTGGCTGGCTGCTGGCTGGTCCTCCCTCCCAAACCCTGATCCCCTTCCCTGCTAGCTAGCTAGGTGCCAATTTTTCCCCTTTCACACGGGCCGATGTGGTGTCCTTCCTCAGCGGGGCCTATTTTGAATGGAAGCGCGTTAATCGCCCGATTGGGTGGTTTGAATCCGCAGAATCTCCCGATTCTATGACATCGCTTCAGCGTCCAGTGCTTTTAAACACTATACAGATATAATAGATATTTTATTTTATTTATTTATTTATTTGTATGTATAACATGAGCGAGAGTCATGTGGCAAATTCTAATTGGCTGGAAGGAATTCACACCTACCGCGTCCATTTTCATTTTCCATTCCCTGCAACACATGAATTGCAGCCCATTCTTCACTCTTCACTTCCTCTTAGAATTCTTATATATATATATATATATATATATGTATGTATGTATGTATATGTATGTAGGTGTAGATGGATGTATATATTTCTGTAAACATTAAAAATATGTGTACATGTTTAGATTGCTTGTGATAGATTATATGAATAAAGAGTCCATATATGGATTTATGTGTTACCACTTTTCTTCCATATTTTTTTTTATTTTGTCTTTTTAATAACATATGAATTATTTTTAGTACAAAACAACAATTGAGTTGACTATGAGGAACTATATTTTTTAGTTATCAACTTATATATATATATATATATATATGCAAATACAAATATCAAGTTTATTGAGAGTATACAAAATCACCGAAAAAACACATATAATCATTAAAAATAAAAATTGATAATTTTTTTTATTAAATATATGATTTTATTGTTATAATTTTAATTTATATTAATAAAAATAATTAAATACATTATGTTCTTTGAATGCATAATATATTATGATAACTTATATTGATTAATGTAAGTACTTATAATTGTAGTTATAATAATAATATAATTATAAATTATACTCAAAGTTATAAAAGTTATTGTATGTGATTTTAGTATCTAATAATAATAATTTATTATTTTATTGGTTGTATTTTATTTTCAAACATGTCATATATAGTTTTAGAATCTTGAATTATTTTGTGGTGTGAAAAATAGCTTAACTTATTTAAGTAGAGATTCTTATTTTTTCCTTGAAAGTGTGTTGGTTGTGCATTTATATTTGATTTTGTTTACATACTTTGTGATTGATTTATAGCACTTAATGTGTTGTGTGTAATGATCTTTTTTTAGATAATAAGACATTATTAATTTAGATGCCAACAAACTTTCTTATAATCCAAGTCCTTTAGAGGAAGACTTAAATTGCTTTGGAGCTCAATGGCATGGAGATTGCAATAGAGAGGCAATTCTTGGATGGCATGCAACTTTATACTTGACTTTGATATGTGGTTCTATAGCTATGGTTCATAATCAAAGCTCATATGAAAAATGAAATAAAATCTATGTAATTAGCGATGTATGAAAGGATTCAATAGTCTTGCACAAGCTTCAACAAAGAACAATTTTTTTTAATTATTTCTATTATAAAGAGATAGGATTAATTATCAAATAATAAGGTTCTATTGATAAAATAATTTGTTATTTTGTAAATGGCTTGATAGAATTAGGTACATAGTTTCAAGATCGGATCAAAGAACTTCATTGATATAGCAAGTACAGTAAGAACTTGGACATTTTAGGTTGTATATAACACATTCTACATTATGTAACCAATATTGGTAGAATTGTATATATCAAAAAGTAGCCACATATGTTTTTTTAATGTGAAGTGTGTAATTTGGTCAAATGAAGCTTTAATACTTTATCACCTCAATTGAAGCCTTTAACTATCATAGATTTGGATTATTGTTTCTCTTTAGACTTTTTTGGACAACTTATTATTACTTCACCTAGAGCTAAATACATGTTGATGATAGTAGAGTATTTTAGAAAATGACTTAATCTTATAGCTATCATAGAATTCTTCAAAATTGATAGTTATATCTTTTCTTAATTATGTGTTGGTACATTTTGGAGCACATGCTAAAATTTCAATAGATTAAGGGAGAGAGTTCTTTAAAACATTTGAAACTTTATATACTAAAGCTTTGATAGATTATTGTACCACCTGTAAAAATCACCTTGAAACAAATGACTTGGCTATAAGAGTTGTTTAGACTATCAAGAAAATTTTTTAGAAGTATGAATTACTTCATAGTAATTATCATAATTGAAACTTAATATTGTTGTACATTGCAATAGGTATCAAGGATAAGAACTTGATAAAAGAAAATAAACAAGTCAAATTTTTGTCAAAGAAAGATGATAATATATATATATATATATATATATATATATATATATATATTTACTAAAAAAAAAACTAAAATAGCTAATGCCAAAAGACAAGAAAACTACAGACTTTTTAAAACTAAATTAACAAAAAAAAAAAAAAAAAAAAAAAAAAAAAAATTGACAAAAGTGAAGAAGATTTCATTCTTATCTCTATATATACTATCTATCTAAGAATTACATGGCAACACTCTATAGGACCTCTAATACGTGTTTAATTTGTAAAACACATATCTTAATCTATAAAGTAAGTTTTCTATAAGTACCACATTATTAACTTATACCACAAGCTACGAATACATATAACATGTGGCTAATTTGTTGGCCAAGTTTATAATCTATCAATCACCTATAGACATGTATAAACATGAAATTACATCTATAAAGCTTCTAAAAAGTTTTTAGGAACCTTTTTAGAAGATATTATAAAATTAATTTATTTTTATCTACTTCTATCTATTTATATTACTTAAATAACTATTAATATACATATATATATATATATATCATTAAAATTACCTCTTTTTTTAAAAGTGAATTCCATAAGGAGCAATAATCACATGTTGATGAAGTCTAAGATGCAATAAATTATATTTCTTACATACCCTAATTGTTGTTTCTTTTAAAAGTAGTTGATAGGTCCTCTTAGCCATTGATAATATCCTACTCTATGACAAGAATATCACCCTTTTATTTGATCATTGTTGAGACATTCATAACTTTTTTCAAACAAAATATTTATTATATCATCAAGAATTATTCATATCTCCAATAAAATCATTAAATATTAGAAGTCTTGTCTAAGATCATGATATCAAATTCATTGTAACTTTCTATCTATTTGAAGAAGAGCATGTTATTCTTGAGGGTCTTCATCTTGATTACATCATCTTAAAGGTTGTGACAATCACAATGTCTTGTTTAATAAGTTAACAAATAATAAAATTTGAATTGAATTTGCCAATTGTAGATTTTTCATCTTGTTAGCATCACAAAATACATAAAATTCACAATAAAGGATAAAAGATATAATACAATCTTTATTAAACACATTTTGTTTTATAATAGGAAATTTCTTGACTTTTCATCTTAATTTTTGATGGATGTTATTGATGAAAAGTTTTAAATTTCTTTAATACATTTACAAGTTTCTTTGTTAACTTCTATGTGTATTCATAAATATCATATCTATGCCAATAAGTAAGATAGTTTAGCCTATTTCTATGCTCCATTAGATCTAAGACTTCTTCCATCTCAAATTTTTTATTATTATTAATTTTTATAAGAAGCGATGGCATTTGTCTTTTTTTCAAGATATTTATTGTCTTATATGGCTTAAAAAGAAATATGTGAAATACAAGATGGATTTTCATAAACTCTCATAAATATAATCAATAAGTAATTGAATTGACTTATTCATATGTAGAAAATGGTTCAAGTCTAGATAAATCTAACTTATCACAAGGACAAATAGTCTTAATATTACAATGAAATAATCATACTTTATTACCAACATTGAATTGAGGTTGTTCATTGTGCTGGCATCCACATTAAACTTTTATTGTTATTGAATTTTTTTTAGATTTATTTTGATTGTTGTATGTAGCTCAAATATATCATTTATCAAATCTTTTGCCATAGGATTATTAAAATTTGAAAAGTTAAAAGCATCAAATTGTGGACGATAATTATAATTAATATAAAAAAATATTATTAAATAAAATAATATATTTTATTATTATAAGGAAAATTTTGCCAATGACAAAAGAATTATTCAATTATCTTATTGGTAATTGATGGTACACTTCAAATATTCCTCCAAGACTTGATTTATGCACTTTGTTTATTTATTGATTAGAGGATAGAAAGCCAAAGATAGTTTAATGTCCACCTTAAGAATCTTCAAAATTTTTCTTCAAAATCTTGATACAAAATGAATCTCCCTATTTCATATAATATTCTTGGATAATCTATAATAGCAATAAATATTGTCAAGAAAAAGCTTTGTTGTTTCTTTACTTGTCATAGAATTTGTATATGGTATAAAATGTGCTATCTTAATAAAATAATCTATTAATCCAAATATAAAATCATAGGAATTTGAAATTAAAAAATCCATCATAAAATCCATAGAAATAAAAGGCCATGGTTGTTGTGGAATAAATAATAGTTGAAAAAATTTATAAAAATAGTGACAAGGAGTTTTTGATCTTGAATAAACATCATATGATTGTACAAATCTTTGACTGCTTTCTTTATTTCAAGCCACCAAAAAACTTTGGATATTAATTCTAAAGTATTTAAAGTATTTAAATTCTAAAGTATATTTAAATTTCTTGTAATTCATATATTCAATGATTAAACTAAAAGCACCTTCTAGAAATGGTACTATTTCTAAAATGAATCTACAATTACAAAAAGTTCTTTGTTGTTGATCTTGTAATTAATCTTTGCTATTGAAAATTTTCTTGAATTTCAAAGAAATATTAAATCTTAAATCAATTCTAAATATATCTTAAATTCTAAATTAATCCTAATAAAATCCTAAATTTTAAACCAAATCTTAATCAAATTCTAAATCTTAAATCAAATTCTAATTAATTCCTAAATAAACTCTAATCAAAACCTAATTAATT